AACCTATCTCTCTGTTATTGTCCCAGTAAAACTGCCTCCTCTCTCCCTTCCTCCTTTTTCCCCTTCCTCCTTCTCTCCTTCTTCCTCCCTCTTTCTCCCCCTCTTCTCTTGTCTACATCACTTTCAAACTTGGGTGCTTCCTTCTACAAACTATCTTTACCTTCATTGTTTGGGATTGACTCACGCTGGGACCTCAGCTTTTCTTTACTGATATTTGTTTGATACCAGGCTGCCTTGAACTCAGATCTTCTTGCCTGTCTCCTGTACTAAAGACATGTTTGTATTCCAGCAGATCATACAGACCCAGAAGGTCTTTGAAAGTGATCTACCAGAGCAGCTATGGTCTAAATTAAAATCCTTCTACAGGAAATCCTTCCACATTTTTATTTAATTCATTTTCATCCTTTTGCCCTTATCCTAAGCTTCCCATGTATGTTAACCTTATTCTGTTTCTGCTCATCACAGAAGGCTGTATTCATTGCAGGCAACAGAGACTACTGCTAGAGCTCTCTGCTTTATGTGCCTGAGTTAATCTATTTGGATTCTTTTAAAGAACAAGGTGTTTCACCTTTCTTAAGTCCCTCTGGCCCCTCTGCTTACTTTGTGTCCCATCAGTATTGCAAGTCCTCTACCGTGCTCCCTCAGTTTCCTATTGTTAAACTTTATACTGTGTTAATGAAGAGCAGGTGTTGTCTTGTTACCATGTTGCTGTTAGTGTTTTTCTGTTCTCAGTGTGTATTTGTGGAAGGTCTACCCCTTGGAACTTTGATTTTCTTAGGTAGCCACAACCCTCTTTAGGAGGCAAAGATGTGGCCCCCATTTACAAGTTTACACCCCAACAAGTGTTATCCAGAATTTTTCTCTGAATAATTTATTTATTAAATGAAAGATACGGAATTCAAATGGAAAGAATAAGTTGACTAGAGAAGATTTAGCGATGAATGAGAAAGAATGGTGCTGGCAGAGGTTACTGGATGTCATTAACTCACAATGGTAAAAGGAGGGTCCCTTGTACATTAATGTAGAGAGGTCAGAAAAACAGAATAAGTGAAAAACATACTCATCCAAAAATACATGATAAAGATAGCATTTTTTCTTCCCAGACAGGATCTCACTATGTAGCTCTGGCCGTCCTAGAACTCACTCCATAAACCAGGCTGGCCTTGAACTTACAAAGAGATCCTCCTGCCTCTACCTCCCACGTGCTGGGATCAAAGGTGTGCACCATTGTGTCCCTCTTGAAAAAATCATTTTGAATGGAAGGTGAGGAGGTAAATGTAGGTCACCTGGGTGAACCTGAAATGTGCTGGGCTCTGGTGGGAGCCATCAGTGTTCATGGCGAGACAGTTTGTCATTGTTGAGAAAAGAGACCAGGACATTCCAAGCTCATTATGTAATAATTTATGAATGTGACAGCAAGAACTAGGAAATACGTGACTGATTAGATCTTTAAGTTGGAAACCTTAGCGTAAAACTACATGAGAAAATGTCACAGAGGTTAATCACAGTAAACTAGAAAAAGATCCTTACCAAGTACACAAATTTCCTATCCTTACAGTATATGAAGAAACTCTTAGATGCTAAGAAAGTGAAGATGTTAAGGAGATTCCCAAAGCGAGTAAAATTGTGACGGAAGCTCACCCTACTAACTGAGGCTCACTGAAACTATTATTTTCCTAAGGGTTTAGAAAGAGGTGAAAGAGTAGTCCTACCAGTAGTCTTCACTCTTGCCGTCGTCGCCAGCCAACCTGTAAGGTTTTTGGGATGGAAGTTGCTAACATTTTAAGAGATGTGAGAGTTGCAGATATACCCGAAGCTTGCAAGATAGGGCTAGATTAGCTTACAGTCATACACAGGCAGAGTGGATCAGCTGCCTGTAGTCAGCGTCTGCTGCGCAGGGGCAAGCTCACGACCAAGCAGGGCTCCCATTGCCAGCCTGAGAGTTTAAGCGGAGGAAGATTTTATTTTCTCCTTCATTTCTATAGTTAAAGGTGTTTTTTTTTTTGTTGTTGTTGTTGTTGTTGTTTATAATGCACGATGACTGATTTAATAATTAGGGGAAATGTCATCTTGTTTTTATTATTTTGTTGAAAAATGTGATAGAGCTTCCTCAGGATAGCTTGTTTGGAGGACCTGGTAGAGGTTAGCCCTGAGACCTGGTGACGGGAGACTGACCACGGCTGGAGTACTTGTCGCAGATTCAAGAGACTTCAGGGGTAGAGAAGGTGGTGTAAGGGGGAAGAGTGAAATTTTATTTGTATTTGTTTGCTGTGTGTGGCACTTGTACATGGTGGTGTGGGGAGGGACACAGAGGCCAAGAAGAAGGTTCACTTACGTCCTCTGTGTCATTCTCCACCTTGTTCCTTTGAGACAGTATTCCTCAGGGATCCCAAAGCTAGGCTGGCAGCCAGCAAGCCTGTAAGGTAAGGTACATTCTCCTACAGAGATGCTGGGTACGATGGGATGGAATGGGTGCCTAGGCAGCTGTGCCATAGGAAGAAATGCAGGGTTTCAATGTGAGTTACTTTACTTGGTGTCTCAGTTTGCCTCATCATGGTGGTTTACTTTCAAACATGTACTGCATTTTTCACTTTTGTTTTTAATTTGCCTGGGGGGTGGGGTCTTCCGTAATTAAAGGAGGGATGCAAAGGAAAAGGTAATTGAGGTGCTGGGTCTCAGAAAATGGAAATAAACATGAACCAAAGAACATCCGGTGTTGAGAGAGTTCATGGCTACCTGCCCCGACTCTGGCTTCCTATCTGTCCAGGCTTGTGGTTTAGAATTCTGGTTTTAAACTCCTGATGCTGTATGATATATCTTAGCACCAAGGGACTTCTGCTGTTTAGACCCTGGGAGTGAGCCTAGTCATTGCTAACAGAACAGACCACAGATGACAACTCATTCTCCCTGGATCTTTTTGTTGTTGTTGCTTGCTTGATTTGTTTTAATTTTTGAGACAGGATTTCCCTGGCTGTCCTGGAACTCATTATGTAGACCAGGCTGGCCTCACACTCTTAGATATCCACCTGCTTCTGTTGGGACTAAACTGCCCCGCCCTTTCCCTGGATCTTTTGTTCTTGCTTCTTAGTCTCCCCTGTGCATTGAAGGGTTGGCATTGCTTCCGTTCCATTGCTGTTGTATCGGGAAGGTATTTATTCCTCCTGCTTATCGAAAAGACGTCTTAAGGAACTTTAATGATAAATATTTTTTAGTTTACAGTTTTAAAGAGTCATAAATAAAATGGTGATAGTTGCTTCCTTTGTAACAGTTGAGCCCTGTAGTCTCAAGTTGGTTTGTTACCCAGTAGTTCCAGAACAACCATGGCAGAAGACATCACTGTCCTGATTTGACTCTTGGACATTGTCTCTCTTGGTTTAAGAAAGGCTTTCTACCCTTAAGCTCCTAAGGGAGTCTTTTTCCCATTAGGATTAGTGGGCAATTTTGTGCCATTTCTTGGATTTCTTTTTGTTGATTATGCTTTTTATTTGCTTAGGATTTGTATTTTATTTTCTGAATTCAAATTATCAATTTTGTTAACTATCTTTTCTACTTTTATTCTCTCTTCCTGTTAATTTGGACTTAATTGCTATTCTTAGGCCCCTCCCACCTCCACCTCCCAAGCCAGCTTTGGTCATATATTGATGTTCCAAGTCCTGTAACAGCTTTCAGTTCAGACTTCTCAGTTTATTTATTGTCTGTGTCTCTTTGGAGATAAGAATTTATGCCTTTCCAGTCCTCTCCTCAAGAGCTGTGGGGCTGAAATTTTACCCTATGTAAGTCAAACCTGTGGCTCCTAGCAGAAGCCACTGGTCTCCTGGCTTGGAGTCAAGAGCAGTTTAGACTCACAGCAACAACAGTAGCACACAACCATAATTTTCCTCACCCAAGTTCTCAGCAGCTGGTTGGCTGAGCCGCAGCTCAGTCACACCCGTGTAAGCACACTCTGCTGTTTTCTAGAAGGGTCTGAACATGCTCTGCCACCTCAGCCTGCTTGCTCCTTCTGTTTGCCCTTCTGGTCTGTTGCCAGACTCCTCTGTGTCTAGATAGATGCCTTCCCACGTCTCTCACTGTCCACCTTGTTTTTTAATTGTCTTTGACAAGCTCCACACCTCGAAGCTGCCCTTCCTGTTTGCACAGTGCCCTGTTCTGATCTTGCAGGTAGGTCCTAGTGTCCTCCCTGCCGTCCTGGACTTCAGTCAGTGTCTTTGTGGATAATGCCTGTAGAGATGTTTTTCTGGATCTCACAGAGAACCCAACTGGGTCAGCATGTGGGTTAGGTGTATGCTGTGAGTAGCTCATAACCAGGGCCAAAATAACATAGGATTTTGTTTCCTTGTGGCAGGTTTGGAGATAGATAACTGCTGCTGTTGATTCAGCTCTTTGGTAACCCTCTAGTAAGCGTCTTCAGTATGCTGTTCTCACCATATGAAATTCCGTTTGTCCAGATATGTGCTTCCAATTATACCCATCTTTAAATTACTAGCTGTTCCAGAGCCTTTCTTAACTCCCATATGAAAATATTATTTCTTTATATTCCCCGAGGCAGCGTGAAGGTAGAAAATGACCTTATCACTAGCACACACACAGACACACACATGCACGCATGCGCGCTTGCACACCTTCCTTACTGAGCTATAAATTCCATGCTTGTATATAGAGTTGCCCTCTGCAGAGTGCTGTGTTTAAGGCCATAGTGGGTTTCCATGTTGAATGTATGGTAGAGAATGAATGAGCCATCTCCTTGAGAAACTTGTTATTAGTAAATAGAACTTTGAGAAGAGATACGCTGCCATGGGTGAGAATATAGAGGTGTTGGATTTTAGCAGAGAATTTAATTCTTAGGAATGGAATGTATGTATTGCTGAAAAGGGACGTCTTTATTTTCTAAACTTATGTGTGATCACATACAGTTTCTTAAAACAGCAGATGTGCTTTTACGTACAATTAAAGCATTCTATTGCTTAGATGGGGACTGAACTGGAGACTGTTCTTTCTTTCAGTGCTTAGATGAGTATGAAGATGACGAAGCAGGACAGAAAGAACGGAAGCGAGAAGATGCCCTCACCCAACAGAACACCATCCAGAACGAAGCTGCGAGCCTCTTAGATCCAGGCGCTTCCTACCTGTCTCAGGTAAGCCTTAAAATGACCAGGAAGCCACTGGCTATTTGAACAACAGTCTTCTAAATTGCTTTTAATAGTTTTCCAGTCTCATTTTAGTAGTATCAGGCTGACTCAATCATTTCCTGTGGGTTTAGCCACCAAATCTTTTCTATCCAAATACTTCTAGACTTGATCATTGTTTGGCTCTTAGTCCCTGAGCAAGACTGACTGACTGGCTGGCTGACTGACTGACTGACTAACCGACTGACTGAGACTGACTGACTGAGTTTAGGTAATAACATCAGTTGTAAAAATAACCAAGAAAAATAATAACTTTCTTATTACTAAGAAGTAAGAGTTAAATTGTTGAGGTGAGTGTCCCTTTCTGTTGTAGACTTTTGGATCATAACCGCATAGAATAAAAAGGTGACCTGCTTTCTCCGATCAACTGTTTAGACATGATGCAGTGTTGGGAATAGTGTCATGTTAAGAGTTCCCAGAAACACTTGCATTGTCTGTATACTTTTGGAGGGCTGGAGAGATGGCTCAGCAGTTAAGAGCACTGGCTGCTCTTCGAGAGGACTTAGGTTCAATTCCCAGCAGCCACATGGCCGCTCACAACTGTCTGTAACTCTAGTTCCAGGGGGTCCAACACCCTCACAAAGATACACATAGAAACAAAACACAAATGCATGTAAAATAAAAATAAACCATAAAAAAAACCATACTTTCCAAAAAGTACTTTAGAAAATAAAACCTCAGTTTCACTTTAGTTTCTCCCTTTTGACTATGAACCCAATCATCTGTAGAATATTTTTTGCATGCTTCTGAGGACAGAGTCCACTGCCCTGATGTGTCTCTCATCTCTAGAATGAGTTAAGTGTGTTTTCAAATATTATTGATATAATTTGTCTGAAGGTTGTTATTTCTGTGACATTTTAAGTCTGCCTGCCTACCTTTCAACTCCCCTGCCTTCTCTCCCTTCCTCTTGTTCTCTTCCCTCTCCTTCCTCTCTCCCCATTTCGTCTATTTCTCTCTCCACACTACATGCACAGGACAGATGTTAGAACTCAGCTGAGACATCATCCCTCAGACGCTGTCTACTTCTTTTTGAAACAAGGTCTTTTAGTGTCCTGGTACTTGACAAGTAAGCTAGGCTGACTGGTGAGGCAGGCTGGGGACAAGCCTGTCTGTGCCTCACTGGAACTGCCATTATAAGGGCATACCACCACACCCATGCTTTTCTTTTTGAGAGAAGTCTTGTTCTGTAGCCTAGGCTAGCCTTGAACTTGCTCTGTATCCTCAAGTTGGCCTCAAAGTTGTGACCCTCCTGTCTCTACCTTCCCAGTGCTGTCACCACGTACGGTTTGCATCCTAAAAGATCATGTCTTTTCAGACTTACTTTCTCTCCTCTCCCCCTACTCTCCCTTTTCCTCCCTTCCCTTCCTGTTCTTTCCTTTCCCCTCCCTTCCCTTGTAGCAAGAATGACCTTGAACCTCAGATCCTCTTTTCTCTGACGGCTGAGTGGTAGGATTGCTGCTGTGCACCACCACCCCCAGCTTTGCTGGAAAATGAATTCAGGCCATTGTGCTGGGTAGACAAGTAATCTACTGACTGAGCTATGTCCCCAGCCCCTCATCTTGGTTTTCTAAATTCATTATATTGTGATGTGACTTTAAAAGGCATTTTGGAGGACTACGCACATTTCTATACTTAATGAAAGTATATTCATTTCTATACTTGATGAAAAGATTAAATATATACCTATTTGCAATTTCTTTTTCCTGTTTGCTATTTTTTGCAACATTATGAAGACAATTTGACAGAGGGAGGCAGATTATTTTGAAGTGGTTAGGAACATCTCTGTCTTCTCTAATGCTGAAGTTACTGACATAGATCCATAGCGTAATATGCTCCGTCTTGACCTCTCATCCCTTACTGTGAGTAATGATCATCATGGCTCTGTGGAAAATAGAAAAAAAATTTAATTTTAATAAGCTTCATAGCACATTAGCTGAGCAGTTAGTACTCTATTCTTAACTCTCTAAACTAATCTTGCTTCATCCAGAGTAAATCCCAGAGATTGTTTGCACTTTATTGCTTTCCTCCTCCAGCTCCTCTCTTGTGACATCTCCTGGACCTCTGCTGGTGGCAGAATACCCTACTTCCTCCTCTAACTCTTCCTCCCCTGGCTGGCAGGAAGTCCAGCCTTTTTCTTTACCCTGCTCAGCGATTGGCTGTAAGATGCTTTATTGGCATATCAGGAGACAATTGGGGAGCAGTGTTTACAAAACATTGAGACAGGAGATTCTCAGAACAAGGATTACAACCAGATAAGAGGTCGGGGAAGGGGGTCAGTACAGAAGCCAGCATTTGAATTATACAGTAACCGTATGCCTACAGCCCCCTATAATGCTAATAGCGCTATTTCTCTCAACTGTTTGTGATCGGTCATCATCTACAAGTATCTTTGTGCTTTTTTGTTTAACAAAATTGAAATTAACTTGGTACTCTTTCAATGATGACTTCCCACACAATGAAGGTTTAATTTACAGCAGTGGAGAAAATATACCATTTTAATTGAAAGTCTAGACTTGGTTTCAGTTCTTGCCCTTCAGCTTACTCTGGGCACTTTAAGAACAAAGCCATACTAACAGTGTAATAATATCACAGTGTCTTTAGACAAAGGCTGATTTCTTTCAATATGAAAAGGCTCTGTCTGTTGTAGTCCAATTATTTCCTGTGCGCACGCTAACATGGACTTATAGCTCAGCAGAGCTGGTCTTCCAGAGCTTGCTGCCCTGATGCATCTGTCATTATTTAACTATTCTGAGGTCTTCCCAGACCTGCTCTTCATTTCTTCAGTTCCTGTCTGTCTGTTTTATTAGTAATTAGGATTAAAGGTTGGCCACTGGCTGTGACCTTGGCTTCAAGTGTATTTTGCCAGGCCGGTTGCTTAGCATGAGAGTGAAGCTAAGTCCTCTCGTGGGCCTCCCTAATGGCTTCATCAGAGGTGGCAGTGGGAACCGGAGATGTTCTGTTCACATAGTTGACATCTCTCTGAGCTACAATCTCAGTTTGCAGTGCCTGTTGCTCCAAAAGGATAGATACTCACAGCACCAAAATCTAGAGGAGTTGTGTGGGAGAGGAAGGATGGAGAAGGGAGCAGTCTTAGCATCATTAGTTGTTTTAGTTTAGTAGGACAGAAAGAAAGGCCACATCCTAGCATTGTCTACAGATCTGAGCCACTCAGGGATATAGGTCTTTAAGAGTGAAGACTGCAAAGGCCAATGTGAGTTTGGCTTGGCTTTGTGGGTGGTTAGAGTATTTTAGTTCTGGTTTAAATTTTTGATGTAATACACACAATGCTAATAGAAAATGAAGATTCAAACTCTTTTTCTTTCTTTTTTTTTTTTAAACAGACTGTTGGGTTGTTTTGTTTTGTTTTAAGATTTACTTATTATATATATATATATATAATGTTCTGCTTGCATATACACCTGCATGACAGAAGAGGGCACCAGATCTCATTATAGATGGTTGTGAGCCACCATGTGGTTGCTGGGAATTGAACTCAGGACCTCTAAGAAGAGGACCCAGTGCTGTTAACCTCTGAGCCATCTCTCCAGCCCCTCTTATTTTTTTTAGCTGTGCCTTCGTACAGCTTTTAAATGTGGTCATGCTTGCTTCTTAAGTAAAACTTTTGTGATTAAATTAAATTTAGACAATAATAGAGCATAAAAAGAAACACTTTGTAGCTGATTAACTCGTTTATGGTCTGCTGTTTTCTGTGAACTCTTGAATCTTACTCTTTTAATTTTTCAAAGGTGGGTGATCATGTGGCACAAAATCCAAAATCCTAAGTGCATGGTAAAAGGTTGCCAACTGCCTGGCTGCCTTCCTGGAAGCAGCTACATATAGCTTTAGAACTAATCCACACAACGAGAGCTGTCTCTGCCTGTCTGTCTGTCCCACAGCAGTGTTTAGTTGTAACGCTAACTTCATCAAAGGATGATTTCGTTGGTGGAGACATAATTTGATGGCATTATTAGGCTATAGTTCTTAGTCCGAAAGTGGGTCTGTGGCCCATCTTCAATCCTTATGAAGTAAGCAGTGGTGCCTTCTTCCCACGAAGCTCTGCTCCACCACAGGCCTATAGCAAAGGAGCCAGCCAGCCATGGGCCAGAACCTCGGGAACTGGGAAGGAGCTTAAGTCTGACTCCCTTTGAAATTGTTTGCCAGGTATTTTGTCACAGTAATGAAAGGCGGACGAACACACCGTCGTCCTTGCAGTATTTTACCCAGGCTGTTTTCCACCATAACTTTCTCACTTGGTACTGTACACAGACTTATGCAACAGTCCAGTAGGAGCTTGAGTATTATTTTTCACAGATGCAGAATTTTCCATTTTATAAGCACACTAATATTTTAAGCTAATTTTGGTTATTAAGGTTGTTTGTTTATTGCTGTAATAAGAAAACATTGCAGTATTGGGAAGCCCCAAAGATATTACTTTGCACATGTGTGATAAAATCCCAACACTGGAATTGCTGGATTGTGTGTATGTTTGAATTTTTCCTTCCTTTGGCTTTTCAAGACAGGGTTTCTCTGTGTAGCCATGGCTGTTCTGGAACTTACTCTGTAAACAGGATGTCCTCAAACTTGGAGCTCTGCCTGCCTCTGTGTGCACTACCTTGCCTGTGTTTGGAGCTTTTTCTGAAATGCCCTTGTAGATGTTATAGTATGAACATTTTTCTTATATTCAAAACTTTTGTTTCCAGAGTGTGGCTGCACGTGTTGGCAATTCTAGCACAGATTAGGAGCCAGCCTCTATTATATTCTAAGTGACAAGCCAGCCAGGGAAGCATGGACCTTTCCTTAAAACACAACTTATTCAGTAGCATAAAATTTTCTTTTCAGTTAACACAAATTAGCCATTAATGGTAATCATCAATGGTTAAAATCTTTTACTCTTGTAAGTAACAATAATAACAACTGTATGTATTAAGCCATTTGTTTTGAGTTGTTTTCTTTGAATAAATTTATAGAGAAAAACTTTTGTGTTGAAGATGCACAAATCATTTCCAAGATTAAAAAGGAATAAAAAAGTAACCTGTTGCATATTGTCTAAGTTACTTGCAGGATCTGTCTGTCCTCAGTGTCATCTCCTGAATGAGCATTAGCAATTTTTACTTAGTCTTAATGTATTGAAAAGTTACAAGGACTCACAGAAAACATTTCTTCTTATAAAACCATTTCTTGAATACGTTGTTGTTTTCTAAGAACAAGGTACACTGAGTGCCCACTTTGCTCATTTTCAGGCCTCATTAAATTTCTTCTGGTTGCTCCAGCAGTCCTGTCCCAAGGCAGAGCAGAGGAGTCAAATTCAAAATCGCTTGCTGCTGTAACTGCCTGTGACTCTCCCCCAGTTAGAAAGCCCTTTGTGGTCTTTCCCAACCTTTCCCATCCCAACCCACTGGAAGATAAATTGATGACATGGCCAACAATTTGGGTTGTGGCCTGTTTACTTATAGGAAGTTCAAATGTGAAAAGAGAGAGAGAGAGAGAGAGAGAGAGAGCAGAGAAGGTCTTCTGCATGCTTGTAGAAAGTACATCTGTGCTTGATCCTGGTTTTGGAAGTCCCAGGTTCCACGCTACAAGATCCTTTGAAAACCCCAGGTCTGTTACACAACACATTTCAAGCCTATTTTTCCTTGCAAGGGAAGGGGAAGTACCTGGGCAGAGCTTGGAAAATGTTGGCAAAGCACCAGCTTGTTTTGCCTCGTTGGAACATAGAACAGTCAGTAAGGAAATCTCTGAACACAGTCCTCACAGGTGAGATGCAGTCGAGGGCCTGTGCTGTGTAAACAGATGGGAAGCGTATGTGAAATAAGATCGGAGAAACACTAGCCCAGGAAGGGCAGGTCACAGATAAAGTGGACCTGTCGAGTTCAGCAGTAATCACTTGTGGTTATTAATGAGGTTCTCTAATAATTATACAGTTAGTAAGCTCCTCTGCATTGGAATTTTTGTGGTCATGGAAATGAATTTTCTAGCTAGGAAATTGTAAGGAAGGGAGGTTATATTTGTGTAGAATTCCATCTGTATGTGGAGGAACAGTGAATATTCTCCCCCTTATAAAAGAATCATGTTGTGCTGGAGTATGAGTAGCTAGAGTTTATAAACCTTGTTTTTTTCCTGTTATTCTCTGGAGATAAGCTTGCTTTTATAAATAGAGAATCTATTTTGCTAAATTACTACAGAAAAGCAAACACCGACCTTCATTTTAGTGGATGCCTTTTTAAGGACAAAGGGTGAAGAAATGTCATAATATTTGTTTGCCAAGGTTTTGTTGCTCTCTCTGCATTACGACCAGCTGATACCCAGGCGAGTGACAACGTCTTCCCAGTGGCTGTCACAGGAGACGCCCCCAGAAGTAGTACTGAACTCAGTTCCTGGGGTCAGGCCCGCCCAGATACTCCAGGATCCTGTCACCTGGCTCTTTTTCCTCTTTGATAACATTCTTGTTGTCAGGGCTTGGGATTTTGTTGCCTTCATTGGTTTTATTTTTCTTTCCCATAACATCCATCAGATTGCTAAGAAAGTGATTTCTCTAGATTTAGGGGCAAGGGCAGGCTTCCAGAAGGTCGGCTTTTACTTAACAAATAAGGAATAAAAATGGAATATTTCGATAAGGGTATTATCTTTTAGTGGTTTTCGATGCTTAGTGGGGAACTATTGGGAATAGTTAGCTCATGTGGGAGAAGTTGATAAAGATTTTATGTCTCAGTTAGCTTTTTAAACTTCCACCAACTTTACATTGTAAGCCTGCTGTGCTCACTCCTGTCATGCAGTTCCACAATACAGTGGGCATGTCTTCTGCTTCCTGTTAAGGCACTAGAAGAAACCCAAACCCCTAGTCTCAACTGCCGAGTGGCATGTCTGGTTGGAAGGTGGCTTAGTCCTTCCTCCTGAACCGTTTTCTGGACTGTTGCCCAGGTCACTATGCAGTTAGCTGCAATCAGTCGCTAGTGTTCTGCTATACAACTGGTCATCTTATAAAGTGACTCATTCTTTCATTTTAACTAGACCAGAAATTCTTTAATTATATAATCTTCTTAGGTTTAACACTATTATCCGTTTTAAAGGGGCTCATCACTTAAATTTGATGTTTTGTTAAGATGAAACTAAAAACGTATCTGAGGAACCCAGACTTATCACAATTACTGCCTACTTATTTGCACAGTACTTTTCCACCTTTGAAGTTAATATTAACTTTCAGGAGTCTGTCTGTCTTTCTCTTTATTTTTATAGCTTAGGATCATCACAGTAATATGTACTTTGCTCTCTTTTTATTTTTAGCTGTACTCTTAAAAATCATTAATCTCTGTGTGTATGTGGTGAGTGATAGGTTTCTTTAACTTTGTCTTTTATTGTTTATGTGTATGTGTGTATCTTTGTAAGTACAGAAGCCAGAAGAGGGTGCCCTGGCCCTAAGAACTGGGCTGGGATTTGAACTCTGGCTCTGCAGGAGGAGCCGGTGCTCTGAGCTGAGCCATCTCTCCACCCATATTTGTTTGTAGATCCTCCTGCCTCTGCCTTCTGGGTGCTGGGATTACAGGCGTACGCCACCCTGGTGTTGTTATCATTTTTGTTTGTTGGTTTGTTTAGCTTTGTTTTATCGGGAGCATAATAAAGACAGGGAGATAGTATAAGACAGTGATTAGCAGGTTGAAGCGGTAGGAAGGTGCTTAGCTAGTGTGCTCCAATCACTGGGGCCAATCTCCTGCCGTAATCAGGGTGTGATGGTGCACATACATAATCCCTGCACTCAGATGGAGGCAGGGAGATCAGACGGTCACAGCTGTCCTCAGGGCCCCAGCTAGTTCCAGGCCAGCCTTGTTTATTTGAAACCATAACTAAAAGAAAAAAAGAAACTCTGACTATTATGGTTTTTGAATGCTTATGTTATACCTCATGTCTGTTTTCTAACTTTTAAAATACTTTGGGCTGGAAAAATCGCTCAGCCATTAAAGGCTAAACTCACAACCAAAATATTTCACTATTAAACTTTAAAACATGGTTGGTTTGGGCTGGAAAACCAGATACAGGTCCTTTTTGTTTGATCATTGGTGTGACGTGTTCTTAAGTGCAGTTGTTCCGCATAGTTCTTTGGCAGTGACTGTTTTGTTTTTCCAAAGCCTGTGGTTGTGTAGTGACGCACGCTCGCACAGCTGATTTCTCGTATTTTACTTTCCAGGACCCTTCGAGAACAGTCCCAGGCAGATACAAAAGGTAAGAAGCTTTGTGTTACACCTTACAGGCTTGAGGACAGTGCCTGTCTCAATGTTGACTTAACTGGCTGGACCTGCTTCCAGGCACTTTCCAAAAGCAAGAAACCAGAACCTTAATAATGTGTTTTTAAAAAGAAGCTCCCAGGGCTGGAGAGATGGGTCAGTAGATAAGAGCCCTGGCTGCTCTTCCAGATGTCCTGAGTTCAATTCCCAGCAACCATATGTTGGCTCACAACTGTCTTTGACTGTAGTCCCATGGGATCCAGTGCCCTCTTCTGGTGCATATACATGCAGACAAAACACCCATATGTGTAAAATACATAACTAAATAAATATTTAAAAAAAAAAAAAAAACAGCTAGGAATTTCTAAGACAGAGGTGCAGCATGTGTCAGCCACAGCTTGTTTCTGACCGATTCCAGAGCCTTTGAAAACTGTCTGCACTGAGTCCTCCCAGGTCTGAAACAGAAACTTAGAATTGATTTTCTTCCATGTAGTTTTTACACTGACAATACAAGGAGACCACATGTAATGACAAAATGCTATAAACTACTTGGGTTAAACAAAAAGGTTATTTTTTTCAAGTCTCTAGAGGCTTGAAGTTGAAAACTAGAGCCAGCTGCCTGGTGCAGCGGTGGTGCTGGTGGTGGTATGAAGGGCGGTCTCTAAGACCTGGTTTGGAGATGCTCATTTTGCTGTGGGTTTTTGTCAGCAAATTCTCTACCCTTCTTAGAAGGGCACTAACCGCACTGTGAGGGTGTCCATCCCTATGGCCCCATGTGAGCCTAATTAATTACTGTTACAATATTTACTACTAAGAATCTCAGCTTTACTACCAAGCAAGCACAAGTACAATATAATTGTGTTTTTCTCTTTGGTGGGATCTGTGGTTAGGGGAAAGGTGAGAGGGCCAGTGTGGCAGGGGCTAAACAAGGGCACCTAACATCTGATCCGTAGAAAGAACCCATGTTTGCTGCTGCTTTCATTTTCCTGTCTGCTTAATTTGTAGGTGTGTGTGACAGAACAACACTTCTTTAATATGGTGAACTAGTCTGTTTACCATGACTAGATTAATCCAACACAATAAATTTTCTTTTGCCAGAAACCATGGCCAAATTAGCTTTGACTTGACCTTTTTTTTGGGGGTGGTGGGGGGGTGGTGGTGGTGGTTTGGTTTCGGTTTCGGTTTTTCAGACAGAGTTTCTCTGTAGCCCAGGCTGGCCTCAAACTCAGAGATCTACCTGCCTCTGCCTCCCAGTGCTGGGATTAAAGGCGTGCTGCACCGACTCTTGTGGCATATTTTCAAATTAAAAAAAACAAAACAAAACAAACAGCCATCATTTTTCGTTGCTGTTTGGTAAACAAAGTTAAAATTCGGTTATTTATCAACTGTGTTATACATATTTAATTCTAATCAAAGTTTATATTATAAACAGTACTTTTATATTTGTGTCCTGGAATTGGATTCAATGAGAGAATACTTAATTTTTTTTTTTTTTAATTTCTGTAAATTCTCACTGGAGAGATGGCCCAGCAGTTTAGATAGAGGACTGACTGCTTTTGTGGAGGATTCGAGTTTGATTCCTAACAGGCAGCTCACAACTGCTGGTGGCTCTAGCTCCATCGTTGTCTTCTGGCCTCTGTAGGCACTGCACACGCGCAAGCACACGCGCTTAGGTGCACACACTCAGGCAGACATGCATGCACACACACAATTAAAATAGCAACAAAAATAAACATTCCTTTCCAAAACTGTTAGAAAATTAGCATTGTCTTAAGTTAGAAATTGTTTCCCATGGTATGTATTTTTTACTCTTGAGATTTGAAACCACTGTTTTTCTTGTGACACGTTCATCTGCTTATACTTTCATTTTTGTAGCCTGAAGCAGTTTTCGGCTTTCAAAGATTCAACCCTGTTTAATATTACTAAGAATACTTTTAAACAGCCAGCACACCTGAGAGGACAAGCAGGAACGCTGAGTTTGAGGCTAGCATGACCTAACAGTGGGAATCTGTTCAAATGAGTATATTTTAATACAGTGGAAGCCTAGACTCGCATCTGAAATTATCCATTTTTTATCTCACTGGACTATCTCATATAGTCTGTCAACAGTTCATTACTTTCACTAGTCTGTCAGCAAGCTGTAGCAGCGATCAGAAATGGGTGTTTCTTGATGAGGGTGTCTCTTGACAAATGGGGATGACAAAAATGAGGAATGGCCTAAAAGACAAAACATTGTATCACATGTTTGGCAGTATTTTCTATAAACTAAGTGACTTGTATATGCACACACTTGGCAGTAACTCTGAGAAGTTTCTGGGGCTTTCAAATCTCTGACCCCATGTGCTCTTTTCTCTAACTAATGTCAAGAATGCAGGGTTTTTTGTTTTGTTTTTTTTTTTAGCTCATTGAAGCAGCAGGCTAGCCACGTGGTGCTCCTAAAGTGCAGTGGGCTCTCATTGGTCCAGAAAGTCCCGCACATACTCACTGTCTTTATATTTTAAATTTCAACTGTTTGGCCATGAGGACAGTGCCGTTTTTGATACTCAGTTTAGGAAAGATGGATCAAAGGCAGGTGTTGGGGTTTGTTTTTCCAGTGTGTGATTCTGTCACTAGTGTTTACTTGATTAGGTTTCTAGTACACTGAAAACAATTTGGAGAAAGAGAAGGTGGGATTTTCTAGGTTGTGTCACACTTGGAACACAGTCAACAGGTAGTGACACTTTGCTGTTATGGGGTGACTCCCTGGGGGCTTTCATAAGTGTGGCCAATGTAGGCTTAGCTCTTTTGTGATGTGAACTAATTTTGACAATCCTTCTCCATGTGGGTCAGAGCACATCTCCGTAGCATTGGCTGTCCCTCCACCTTTCTTAGGGCTCCAGGGTTAAGGTCAGGTTGCCAGGCGTGTGCGACATCACAGAGGAATTCTCCTTCCGCCTTTCTGTGGGATGCTGAGGTGCAACTCCATGCAGGCAGGAATGGTGAGAGGTTTTGCCCACTGAACCATCTTATGGGCCCCCTTTTCTGCCTTTTAAAAGAAATGCTTATTTCTTAACGAATGTGATAAGTATGGAAAATTAGTATTAATCAAACACAATCCTATCCTGTAAACCAAACACTACTGCCAATTTTTAAATTTTTTTATTGTAAGTTTCTAAATGGTTTTTCATCTCCTATGGGCAACAGTAGATGTGCAGTTCTGCATCCGGTCAGTTCCTCTGTGTAACACGGATGCCTGCTGATAAATGGTGGCTGCTCTCAGCTGCCTCAGCTCTGCCTCTTCAACACAGACAGCACATGAACACACAGAAAACCCATTGCTTCTGCTTCGGGAAGCCACTGTTTCTTTTGTATCTGAGCAGAGTGGGCACATGATTCTTTTTCCTGACATTCTCTTCTGAGTCAGCTCTGATGTAAGGCCTGCTTTGGAGAGGTGGCTTGTTCCGATTGATGCATTCGGGGACAAATGTCCTCTGATCTCACATTTCATGGGCACGTGAAATGACAGCCACCTTCAGCTACGTGGGAGCGTACAGGTGTGTACTGCCCACAGCCATCAGCCAACCCAGTGTGAATAGCAGCCTGCTTTCCGGGGGGGAGGGGGGCTACCTCTCCTTCCCCACCCCCCTCCTCCTCACACTCCACAATCAAGTGCGAGCTACACAAATTTCTTGTGATGTCAGCTTTCAGAAACACACTTCCTCTTTTTATGACAAAATGCCATATTTATGTATTTCTTGAATATTTAACATGTTTATGACATTGGTTATGTTTCTCTTCACTTTTCCCTCCCTTCCATTTAATATGTCACTGAAAGTAGTTTTTGAGATTATGTCCTTAGCTCCATGTTCTCTATAATCCTTCTGTCTTTGTTGAGCGGTTTTGTATTGGGTACTGGTTTTTGCAAGTATACATTGCAGTGCCGGAGGCTTACCCTCTGGGTGCATGGCTTAGTGAACTAAATCTTTGCCTTTGTGTGGGAAGAGTGCTCTTATATAACACGAATGTGCTTGATCTGAGATACCCTGAACAAACACTTGTTTTAGATTTAAATTTTTTGCTTTGTGTGTGCCTGTGTGTGTACCATATGCATGTCTGGTGCCAGCACAGGTCAGGAGAGGGCATGAGACCCCCACAGAACTGGACTAAGATGACTATGAGCTGCCGCGTGGATGCTGGGAACTGAGTGTGGGTCCTCTACAAGAACAAGTACTGGTGACCACTGAACCACTCTCAAATGTATGCATTTCAAGACTAATGAAGAGATGTAGGAACAAATGGACCTTAGTGGCATCCTTAGTTGGCACTGTGCAGGTTATCTCACATTCTGCTCCTCTATAAGCCAGCAGTCACCATGAGCACGGGGGTAGATGAAACCTGACAAAACCTTTAAGCAAACAAACAAATAAATAAATAAATGGAAAGACAATCAGTACTTTGAGATGGGTCTGTAGTCCTGCAGAGGAAAGCAATTTCTTTTTAAGATCTTGCCTGTAGAGGCTGGAGAGATGGCTCAGCAGTTAGAAGCACTGACTGTTCTTCCAGAGGACCCGGTTCAATTCCCAGCACTCACATGGCAGCTCACAACTGTCTGTAACTACAGTTCCAGGAGATCAGACACACACAGACATATAAACAGGTAAACACCAATGCACATTAAAAATAAATAAATAAAACCTTCCCAGTTTTCTTACACTAAGTATGTGTCACAGTGTTAATAAAGAGCCTGGGTGCTGATTTTGAGTTTTAGTTGTGTGTGCTTGCATTTAAAGGAAAAGACACAGCAGGGTGGGGAAAGCCTGGGAGTTTGGAGTCCAGCAGTATACTTAGGAAGGTCATGATCTGTCTAACACCTCTGAATGTTTGATACCCATTGTTTAATAGGATTTTACCCATGAGTCTTGTATTTCATCTCATTGCTGAGCTTTAAAATGTCTGTATTAGTGGAAAATTCCTCTGACTGTAATCTCTTAATGCTACCAATCTCATTCTCATGATAGCTTTAGAATAACAGTGTTATTTTCCTGAACATAGCAGTGGCCTCTCATCTTTCCACAGAAGATGTGAAAATTCCCAGAAGGGAAAAACTTCCAGTAAAGGGTGGTATTTATTTTTTATAATACTGCTTATTACTTTCCCTTTACTGAACATCATATTTAATATCTCTGTGGCTGAGATTAGACAATTTTGTCTTTGGATCTTAGGTTTGTGTTAACATTCCTAACTAGAACATCACAAACCTTTTGGAGTGCATAAAACAATTTTTTATTCTGAATATTTTCCATTGTGCATATCCGGCCTACAAAATAGGTTGAAAACATTTCTGTGTTAGGATAAACAGCTAAATTTGGCAACAAAATCAAGAAGCACACAGCCCTTCCTGATTATGGCATCATTTCTTTCAAATCTAGTGTGTATGAGGGTCAAAGAGCTGGTTTAACTTTTCAGCAGTCATTCTTTGCTTTCACATATGCACAGGGTTTTATTTATTTATTGACGTTGTTAACATTCAGGGCTCTTACACTCATAAGTGAAACGCCTAAAACTTGGTTTTGTTGTTTTCAGTCGATGTTTATTTGTTCATATTAGTGGAGTGATGTAATAACTCACTACCTGCGCACAGTGGAATATGCATCCCTTCTGCTTGTCATCTGCCTAGTTTAGGGACCTCTGCACTCATTTATTCTACAGTATGTCATACACTGTTGTGGACTGAGTTCCCCTGCTGTGATCAGAACAACGTAGCTAATTCCTTTATGTGACTGTATTTGTGTGCATTATGGAACCTCCATGTCTCCTCCCTTCCTAGTGTTCAGTGACCACTATTCTCCGGTGTCCTCAGAAATCACCCTCTGTTGCCTGGCTTACTGCACATTTCATCTGACATATCTTTCATTTCTCCACAAGGGACATGAGCTTGTTCTTTTTATTGCACTTTTATGTACCTATGCAGCATTTATTTTTCTTTTGTATTAATCAAAGTTCTTTGATAGTTTCAGGCATATAACATTATATATATATATATATATATACATATACATATATACATATATATATATACATATATACATATGTATATATGTGTGTGTGTATGTGTGTGTGTATATATATATATATACACACCCACCCTTGTCTTTTCGTTATCTCTACCACCCTTTTAATCTCCCTGTCCTCATCCTTTTATTTTGTTTTCACATTCTTGCCTTTCTTTTAGTCCTGTGACCCTTTTATTGATTTAATGATTCCATTTCTCAGTTTCTGCTTGTTTCTTATCTCTGGAATTTCTCATTGATGCCATGGCTAGACCTTTCATGTGTTGGATTATGTACTTAGATTCTGTTGTATCTCACTTGGTTTCCTTAGGATCATTGTTTTGATTTTTTTTTTCAAGGACTTAATAGATTTCTTTCATGTTGGGATCTTCTAGAAAACTGTTTCTTAACCTTCCTAATGCTACGCCCCTCAAGTGGTGATGACCCCCAACCATAAAATTATTTCATTTCTACTTTAGAGCAGTAAATTTGCTACTCTTCGGTATTGTACTGTGACTATCTGATGTGCAGGATATCTGAACTGTGACTCCTGTGAAAGAGCCCTTTGACCCCAAAGGGTTATGCCCACACTGATATTCTAGAGTTATTCTATACTATTGCTCTATTGGATGTATGTTCCCTTGCCTTTTTATGTCTCTTGTGTTGCTGTGTTGTCTGTACAGCTGCTGCACTGTCTTCTTTCAATTTTGAGCAGTAGGTTTTCCAGAGGAAGACATTTTCCTTTACGTAAATTGTAGGTGTCATTTTATATAGATGCCATGGCATCGGCTATCAGTGCAGAGGTCTGGACTCCATATGATCTTTCTTTCAGTTATAGTCATCGTTGTCTGGGCTGTGTAAACCATAGGTATTTGTGGTGGCAGTAGTGTGCCTTTGTGATGGACATGGGTACCAGGAGTGAGGGACCACCGGCCCTGCTGAAAGACAGGTACTGATGACAGTGATCTAGCTGCAAGGCTAGGATGCTGTTTACAGAGTGGCATGCAAAAGTGAATGTTGATAGTAGTGGCAGCAGCCATGATGCTAAGGAAGACAGTTACAGAGGAGTATATCTAGGACCTTGCAGAAGTAGATGCTGATGGCACCAAGCCCTCTGTCAGTGTGATCTGTAATGCTTCAGGATGCTGAGTAGCAGTGGTCAGAAGTAACGGTGGTCCCCCTGGCAATGGGCAAAGAGACACTTGGTGGTGGTGGTGTTCTTACATCAGTCGGGCAGAACAGATGGCAGTCCTTTGTTCATCCTAGCTTGAGGCCTGGCTTGGCAGCCAGCGCTGTTTCATGCCCAGGGCATTTAAAAGGCAAAACAAAGCAAGTCCAGGCAGTGCAGCACAGGAGGAGGTTGATAAAGACCCGAGTTCCACCATGCCATGCGGTGCAGGAGGGGAAGGACGCCCAGGCCTGCCCTCTGCCCCACCTACCACCACACAGAGCAGCAACACAGTGCAGTGCAGCGCAGAGCAGGAGGAGGAAGGCAGAGACCTGTGGAATGCCATGACACCCACAGACTTGCCCCCTGGCTCACAGCACAGGTGGGCTGTAGACACCTTCTTGCCAGAGCATGTCACCCAGGGGCCAGCCTGCAGTGGAGCCACCACAGTGTGTGAGTGTGTGGTGGACAGATGGGAGAAAAAGAGAAGTGGAGCAACTTGAGCATTATAAAGAGAGATGGAACTGGAGACGCGAGGGTGGAAAGAAGTAGCCTGTTGTGAGTGGCCAGACCCACACCTGGGGCCATGGTGAGGTCCTACCCCAAGCTGGTGGGACCATGACTAGGTCTGGGGCTATGCAGCGGCAGGGGTAGGTGTAGGTCTTACCACCAGAGGACTTGAGAACATCTCTGGTCGGGACAGCCACCAGGGACCATGTGGATGTGCAGGGAGTGTGCAGAACTGGCCCAACCCCTCACTGGATGTGGCACTCTAGAGAGCTGGCCCTGTAGAGGGCGTGAGTGTGGGAAAGCTGACCCTACCACTTGTCTGCTGTGGGGTGGCAGGCACAGAGGTGATTGCCCCCATCCTTTGCCACCACTGGCAGTGGGGAAAGCTGCTCACAGGGTCATGAGTGCAGGTGAGCAGGCCTGAGAGCGAGAACATGGAAAGCTGGCCCCCATCATTTACCTTCTGGGAGGTGGTTTGGTTGCAGGGGTAAGGCCCTCCCCTTCTCCTCCTCACTACCTTTGGTAGTTGGGGGAGTTGGCCTGGCCCCCTAACTATAGCGCTTGGGATAGTGGGCCCTGTACCTCATCTGGGCAACATGGTGGAGCTGGTCCTGATGGTGAAGGTGTGGGTAAGCCAGCCCTGAGTGTGTGAGAGCACAGTGCTGGCACAGCCCCTCACAGGCTGCAGGACTTGGGAGGGTGGGCCCAGCACCTCGACTGAGCTGGCTTTGAGGGCATGAGAGCAAGAGAGCTGACTCTTCCCTCCTGCCCTTGGTGGCATCGGCCTCGCTCTAGCATGCTGGAGAGCTAGCCCTGGTGATGCGTGCAAATAAGGGAGAGCCGACCGGCTGGCCAGCTCAGCTACCACCCAGGCCCAGATCCAGGGCTCTGAGTTGGCTTCCCCAAAAATCAGTGGAAGGTTGGGACATTTGAAAGGGCCAGTCCTGCTGATGCAAAGCTGCAGGATCTCTGTGACAGAGGACAGTAGGATACCTGCAGGGGAGACTTAGTGAGGATCCAATACTGATGGTGTCACAGAAGCCAGAGATCTCAAACCAAACTAATGACTCATTGAAATGAACATTTGCAAGTGAAGATGCATGGACAGAGTGATTTACTGTGGGACACACTGTGACACACTACACCTTCCATGATGACTTGTTTTCTATGCTTTGTTTGGTGTGTGTGTGTGTGTGTGTGTGTGTGTGTGTGTGTGTGTGTGTGCTGGGGAGAGGAGGTTGCAAGGGCAAAGGATGGATATGAGGTGATGGGGAGATGAGCAGGACTGGAGTGCATGATGTGAAACTCACAAAGAATCAATAAAAAGTTAAGAAAAGTAATGGTGAGGCATCTGGTGTCAGTATCCACTATGGCACTCATAGGCCAGTAGGCCTGCGCTAGGCTTATTAGGCCTCTCAGAAGAATGCTGATGACTGCAGCTTCAGTTGAAGCACCAAGTAGGAGGTTGGGAAGATAGCGTTTTAGGCCTGAGCATGCCAGGGCACCTGAGAACAGTGCTGTGTGTAGACTTGTGCTATAAGGTCACGGTTTTACAACTGATCTGGCCATGTTCATGAAATTGGAGCTTTCTGTGCGAACATGTTAAACATTCGTGAGACTCTAGGGATGATGTCACGCAGTGGCTACTGTTCCCTAGGTCAGTGGCTCTGTTTTTCAGATTGCTACATGTTATATGGCAATGTGGTCTCTAGGAGGTGGGAGAGAGGTCCAAAGTGAGTTCCTTCTGAGTCAACACAATCAGAGACATTGGACCATTGTTCAAAATAGATTCAGAGCCAGTGAGGACTGAGGTACCCATCTCATTGTTAGGGCAGTAGTACATGGCGATAGTCGCAGACCACGGAGTTAGCTTGGGGCAGGAGTCACATTTATAATGCAGTGTTTTACACTACACAATGCCATCCAGGTCTCTGGATTTCTTGTCTCTCACTGAGCTTTCACACTCCCTCTGTCGATCTCCCTGAGATGCTGTGATTTTCCTGTGAGGAGGACAGTCTGTCCAACACATTCTTTTAAGCTGTTCCTTGAGCAATTCTGGAACCACTGGGAGACATTCATATTTTAGTGTTTTGTCCAAGCTGTTGTCATTTCTCCCTGGATATCTCTTGTTGCTACAGAAAATCTGGACTTTAAAAAAGCCTATAAAGAGGGGAGGAGATCCTCCCCTATCAGGGGACTAGGGAAAGGGCATAGGGGGAAAAGAGAGAGGGAGGGTAGGACTGGGAGAAGACGAGAGAAGGGGCTGCAACGGAGATACAAAGTGAATAAATTGTAATAAATAAATGTGTAAATAAAAGTAAAATAAAATAAAGAGCCTCTAAAGGACCCTCTAAGCTGGTTTCAGTGTTCCTTTGTATCTCAGCGTGACTTCCTTGTGAGAGCCCTGCCTTGGATTTCTTCCTGTCTCAGCTACCCTTGTTCTTCCTCCTTTATTACATTGATTAGTAGTCGAGTCTCTTAGAAATTATTTTCTTTCTGTCTTGTCTTATGTGCTAGAAAAAGTAGCCAGCAACTGTTAGATGTGAGATTGCTGAGTGCTAAGCTCAGGGTGTTCAAACATGAATGTTACACGGTAGGTGTCAGTAGTGCATGAATGTTTATTCTTGCTGACACTAGAGTTAGACACGGTGTGAACCCAGGGCCTCAAACATCCTAGAACTGCTTTATTATTCATTTTCGTGTCATTATCTCATCTTTACCTGGTTATGCAATCCTTATTGAGATTAACTGAAGTCTTTTTATTGCCCTACCATATCCTACTTGGATAATTACGGTAGCCTAACCTAACTGCTGGCCGCTGTGCTGTCTTTGCTGTTTTGTAATATGTTTTGTAAAAGGCATTCTATTCCCTTTCCTGCCTTACTTGGTTTGGATGCTGGACATTGAACTAAGGGCCTTACACATGTGGGGCGGGGCATCTAACTGCCACACTGTATTCCCAGTTCCTGCTACATGTGTCAGTGGTTTCCCAAGTAGGTTTTGTACACAAGAGTATCTGTCAGCGTGCAGGTGTTCATTATTACAATCTCTGTTACTTTCAATAAATGTATTTATTTGTTGCTTTGAGATGGTGTTCTGTTATGTTTCCTAGGCTGGACTCAGACTCCAGGGCCCGAGTAGGTCCTCCAACCTCAGCCTCCTTGAGGAGCTGGGATTACAGATGTTCACCCCCATCTTGGTTATGTTTACCTTTTCTCTGAGGGTGGGGAGCAGACATGGCTATTTGGTAGCCATCGCTGTGCATGGTTATTTAGGCATTCCTTCTTGACCCCTTGTCTCACGGCCACTTAACACTAAAGGTATCCAGAAAGCAATAGCCTTTGTTCACTTTGTCCCTCTTGCACAATATTGAAACTAGACTGTTTAATGGGTTTATAAATTATCTACTTTAGGGGGCTGGAGAGATGGCTCAGAGGTTAAGAGCACTGGCTGCTCTTCCAGAGGTCATGAGTTCAATTCCCAGCAACCACGTGGTGGCTGACGACCATCTATAATGAGATCTGGAGCCTTCTTCGGGCGTGCAGGTGTACATGCAAACACAACATTGTATACATAACAAATAAATAAATAAATCTTAAAAAAATTATTTACTTTAGGTAATGATCACAAAATAAGTAAGTCCGAGGTTAGGAACTTTGTGGAGAAAACATGAGCAAATTTGCTAAGTGCAAATATGACCACATGGTTGTTCATCTCGTAAGATGTACAAAGTCAAGTCTGTTCTCATAGACTAAAAACTATTTTGAGATCTTTTACTTCTTATATGAGAACAGAGGTACACACCTTTATAGTCCCAGCACTTAGGGAGGCAGAGGCAGGCGGATTTCTGTGAGTTCAAGGCCAGCCTGGTCTACAAAGTGAGTTCAGGACAGCCACGGCTACAAAGGAAACCCTGTCTCGAGAAGAGAAAAAAAAGTAAACTTCTTCATCATCTTTCAGATTTTACATCTCTGTGATAACCATTAAAGACAGATATATAAATGGATCATTCTTTGAATTTCTATATCATGAGGTATTAAAATAAATTCTCAGAATAAAGCATATTCCCCATTTTTAAAGTTTTTTAAATAGTCATTTTCTGTAAGAATGAATATTGTAGCATAAGTAAGTAAAACAAATTTTAGGCTCTTTCAATTCTTTGTATACTATATTTTGGCAAAACAGATGTTTACTACATTTCTATGATCATAAATCCCATAAAATAATGGTTAAGTGAACACCCATTCCAATATGGGTGTGCTAATAAAAAAATGGAGAATGATTTTGAGTTTGAATTAGTTTGAACTGTATGAAATAGCTTTCCAGTTTTCTGCTTGGTTTTCTGTCCTCTTACCATCTTCTGTTTACATTTTTATGTCGTAGCCTTTTTGGGCTGCCCTTCTCAGCTGCTCTCTGTACTCTGTACCTTATTCTTCTCAATTTAAGTTTAAGTACTGTAGCATAGCCCTGCTCCTAGTGTGGTCTTTAAACTGATACGGGAGCTTGCATCCGAATGTAAGCTTTTTGTTGGAGAATGTATTGCTGGGTCAGCTAAGCTCCATCAGCTGAACATTCAGCACAGTAGTTCACTAAAGGCACAGAGGACTAAAATGCTAATGCTTTAAATCTGAAATTCCTGAAAAATGTTAGCTGGGGCTTGATCTTATCATCCAGGCTAATCGACTCTTGTATGCTAAGTGGTTATAGGTTGGCTTTCAAAGGAAAAATTTCAGTCAGAAGTATTTGAACTTCAGGTGAACTTTGGGTGTTTTTGCAAGATAAGAAAGTATTTTGGTGGCCCACTTTATAAGTATGTGCCTTAGACTTACTTGGCTGCTAGCGAGTACCTCCCCTCCACACACAGATACTTCTCTCTTTTTTAATTATTTTAACCTTTTGTGCAAGGAAGGAATGTCAGATGTTTTTCAATGGCAGATAAGATCAAAGAACAAAAAAAAATGGTAGTAATTATATGGTGAAGTTCCTATAGCTCACCTTCGTGGGTTCATAATAAAGTTAGAATGATCAATGAAGTAAATGGTTGTCATGGTATTGCATGTTTGAAAATTACCATTGGATGGTATAAGGCCAAATAGAATGAAAATATCTGAGTGGGAAGTTCATAAATTAGGAATCCATTTTTCCTTTAAAAGCTACTATTTTAGGATTTTATTACTGTGAAGAGACAGCATGACCATGGCAGCTCTTATAAAGAAAAACATTTAATTGGGGCAGGCTTACAGTTTTAGAAGTTTAGTCCATTATTGTCACGATGGGAAGCATGGCAGTATCCACATGGTGTGGGAGAAGGAGCTGAGAGTTCTACATCTTGGTCGGCAGGCAGCAGGAAACTGTGTCACTGGGCATGACTTGAGCATATATGAGACCTCACAACCAGCCTCCACAGTGACACACTTCCTCCAACAAGGCCACACCTACTCCATCAAGGCCACACCTCCTAATAATGACATTCCCTGTGTGTCTTTGGGAGCCAATTACAATCAATCTACCATAGCTACTTTAGATTTCACAATAATTTTGCATATAAGATATTTCTAGTGGCCACTAATGAAAGATTGAAAATACAAAATTTTAAAAGCATAATTTATAGATTTTCAATTAATGTTTTTTGTTTGTTTTGTTTGAGGAGGTGGGGTTGGATTTTTGGTTTTTTGTTTGCTTTGTTTGTTTGTTTGTTTGTTTTTTGAGACAAGTTTTCTCTGTGTAGTCCTGACTGTCCTGGAACTCTGTAGACAAAGCTGGCATCAAACTCACAGAGACCTGCCTGACTCTGCCTTCCACATGCAGGGATTAAGGGTGTGCATCACCAATGTCAGGCTCAGTCAATGTGCTTTAAAATGATTATGCTGAGCTTTCTGCAGCTGCTTTAAAATAATTTTGTCAACTTGCTTCTATGAGACTAGTTTCTAAGTGCTATTGAGACAGATAGCATTCCTGTGATCTAATATAGATGAATCACCGAATGCAGTAGCCAGCCTTCAAGGTGGCCCCTGATGAGCCCTCCCTCCCCGTTACTTAAGCCTTCTGTAACTCCCTCTCAGTGTTTCACTAGGGTGATCTTTTACAGGTAGCAAAAGGATGCAGGTGTGATGGCTTGCCACCTTGAGACTGGGTTGTGGCAGACACTTCAGCCTCTGGTCTGATTTCTAAACTGTAATCTCTCTGGAAGCCTGCTGCCATGTGTTAAGTAGCCCAGTGGAGGAACTGAGGCCTCTGGCTGACAGCTGGGAGGCACTGAATACTTTTGCCCACAGATGCTTGAGTGGGCTTGCAGGCCGACTCTCCAGCTCAGTCAAGCCTTCAGGTGACTGTAGCTCTCAGAAACTCTCACAGGAGACCCATAGCCTTAATTACTCTCTAAGCTGCTTCTGAATTCTCCAACAGCAGAAACTTTGAGTCAGTAAGTGTGCACTACCTTAAGCCATAAAGTTTGGGGGTGATTTTTATGTAGTAGGAGATAACACAGAGTGCAGAGCAACAGCTGTTACATTGAATACATTAAATATTGACAGTGCTATTAATCTGCTGTAAGCTAGTGTTGAATTTGAGGAAGTGCTGGTGAAGTTTGCAGTATGAATAAGTTACCAGAGTGGAAGTAGTTGCCTATATTAGCACACTTTCAGTTACAATTTTGCGAGTTTATCAGTTCTTTACTTTTTTCAGTTAAAATTATATTGATGTTATGTTTTGGAATTTAATGAAACATTGAACTCTGAAAATAAAAAGCTTTTCTTTTCTTTCTTTTTTTTTTTTTTTTTCCCAGATAGTGTTTCTCTGTGTAGCCTTGGCTGTCCTGGAACTCACTCTGTAGACCAGGCTGGCCTCAAAATCAGAGATCTGCCTGCCTCTGCTCCCAAGAGCTGGGATTGAAGGTGTGTACCACCACCACCTGACTATTAAAAAAAAAAAAAAAAAAGGAAAAAAATTGAAGAGAAGTGAATTTTCACCACAGATGGTCTAGGAGATCATGTTCCAGTCCCTATTATGTCTGCCTGAGACTGAGAAGTGATGGCCACTTTACTGTATTATATCTGTTGGCATTCCCAGTTGAAAGGACAGTCCCTGTTGGTGGTTGCTCTCAACATCTTCAGAACCTAGAACTCTGCCTGACACTGACAGCCAGCTTGGAATTAGCTGAAAGAATCAATGTGCCTTTATGGTTTCTTTTCCCATTGTGTTTGAATAAGGGTTAAATTCTGCAGTTTTGTGTGTCCTCAAAGACTGTTAATCAGACGAAAGAGAAAAACAGCCTTGGCATCTTTCTTTTAGAGTGTGGCAGATGTTTATGAAATGTTCACTTTTATTTTCACAGCACAAGCAGTGCCCCAGAAGATGAAGTCTCAAGTAGATATCCCCGCATGGACAGAAGTGGGTTCAGCAGGCAGAGCCGAGATGCAAATTCGGCAGGAAACTTCGCCTCCAGTAGCACCTTGGAAAAGAGAATCGAAGATCTTGAAAAGGTATGAATTGTAAATTAGTCAAAATAAAATTAACACTTCTTGGCATTTTCTCTCAGTCTCCCAAGTAGAAAGGGAGGGGGTATCTGGGCAGGAGAGGCCTGGCTCTACTCGAGGAGCAACTTTGGCTCCTTCTGCACCAGCTCCTAGATACTCTTGATTAGGTATACCCCCATTTCCTCAGTGCTTTTCTGTCCACTTGTGATGGCAAAACGTGAGGAATGAGCTGAATTCTTGAACTTGTCAATCCAGTAGCCATTCCTGTCCTGTCAAGTCTTTCTTGCAGTATGAAGAGCAGTGTCTTGAGTGCTTAGATGTCTGCGCTGTTGGGCTGTACTTCCCTGTGCTACATTGTCTGAACACACTGTTGATTTAGACCTTATAGCGATTCTGAGTTGGGTCCATATCTGGTGCTTGAGCCATTCTCATGTAGGAAGAGGATAACCTTGCTTAGAGATGTTCTGACAATTCAGATTAACATTGCAGTAGAACTAAACCATAGGCTCTCCCACAGACACACCTGAAACCGATTACTGGTGCTGACTGAATTGGTTGAAATATGTTTTGTTTTAGTAAATGGAAGTTATTCTCTGTGCTACAGCGATTAGCTTTTAATTTACTGCTTACACAAAGTTTTGTTTTGTTTTGTTAGGTTGCATTTAAGCTTTAACCCCTGTTTCTGATTGGAACCATTACTTAAATTTAAAGGCTTAGAGAATACACATTAGTTTTTAACAAGTTTCTCCACAAGGCTCCGGGAGGTTTCTGGGTGGAGTTGCTGGCAGCCTTTGATGGCTGTGGGTAGCCTGCTCCATCCTCTGAGGGCTGGGAGAAAAGCGAGTCCTTCTAGAGCCCATTCCAGCTCTTCAAGGAAGCCCTTGGAGTCTTTTATCTGTTACTGGTGTACTGAGGCCAAATCTCATACAGTCCAGGTAACTGAAGATGATCATGGACCTGAGCTGCTAGTCTCCACCCCACAAGAGCTAGGATTATAGCTGTGTACAAAACACCATGCTGGAGGTCCTAAATTCAAGAATGTCTAAATTAAGATTTGTTTGTTTGTTTTTAAATAAATAGATGGGCATGATGGCACACGCCCAGCACTCCAAGAGGCAGAGGCAGGTGGATATCTGTGAGTTTGAGGCCAGCCTGGTCTACAAATCGAGTCCTAGACAGCCAAGGCTACACAAGAGAATCCCTGTCTCAAAACAAAAACAAAACAAAACAAAAAAAAGGCATTGTTATTAGCTCACAAAGTATCATATTTTGTTATGGTGTTTTTCAATCAAAATTTGTTTTTTGTTTTGTTTTTTTTTCACTTTTCTTCCTTATTCTTCCTTCCTTGTATCCCCATCATTCCCAGTATCTTTTCTTCTTTCTTGTCACATGTCATCTTCCCCTATTTTTTTTTTTTTAACACTTCTTGCTCTCTAGTGATCCCATACCTGGTTTCTTAACCTGTGCCAACTCTCATACCTCCGTTTGCATACATTGGAAGTTGGAGTCTGTAAGTGGGAGGGAATGTGTGATTTCCGTCTTTATGAGACTAGGTACCGCAGTACAGTATTTTCCAGGTCTGACTGTTCTTTGAGTAAGATGCTTTGTAAGGGTTTGTTGTTGTTTGTTTTTCTCTTTTGGAGATTTATCGTGGCTCGTGGTTTTCGAATTACAGCCGATCCTGTTGTTTCTGGTCTGCTGAAGCAAGGGCGTGAGGGAAGGGATGTTCACCTCTGGCAGGAAGCAGAGAAGAGGAGCAAGATGGGGATTCCCCACTTCCTTCTCCCCTTTTTTAAGTTCCATATAAGTACACCCTGGTGTGCTTTACCCATCTCCTAACTGCTTCTTTCTGTTAGAGTGCACTGATTATATATACTAACAGGCTTCGCTATGACATTTCATATGTGTAGATATGTATTCTGCATGTCCATCCTCATCTCTCCCTGCCACTTCCATTAATCCTTTTTCCAACTAGCCCCACTTCTGCGAGTTCTATTGGGGTTGTTTATGGGCATCTTATCAATGCCTTCACCACTAAAGGAAATACCTCTTCCTCCCCCGACAGGATCTTGTTATGGTGCTGCAGTTAGCTTTGAACCCCTAAGCTCAAGTTATCCTCTTGCCCCAGACTGCCGCACTAAGTATGGTCCACCATGCCGAGGAAATACCATCTCTTTTAAAAGAAAACAGCAGGAGCAGCAGCAGCAAATACACCTTTTCCTTGTTCATTCACAAAATTCACAAGTTTTCATTTTTGCTCTTTAAAAAATTATGTAGATTCTCTTCTTCCTTTACAAAGTTGGTGTGTGTGTGTGTACACGTACGTACATGTCATTGTCACCATCAAGTCTTCAGAGTCAGATATGCGTGGAAGAGACCCTGCTAATCTCTGGTGGAATCTCACTGTTACTGACAGGTGTCTGCCATTTTAAACTATGTAATCAGCTGGTTCCCTGTTAATGCTGTGTGATTTTATTTACCAGGAAGTAGTAAGAGAAAGGCAAGAAAACCTTAGACTCGTGAGGCTGATGCAAGATAAAGAAGAAATGATTGGAAAACTCAAGGAAGAGATTGATTTGTTGAATAGAGTAAGTATTTCTGCATTCCTATCCCGGGGTTCTTCTTTTGCTAATTGGGTGAAGGCACGTGAGGCTGAAGACTTTGTGTGTTGCCTTGTACGGTTTGGTTAATCAGACAGTTATTAATGGTGAGACCCTCCGCTTCTTCCTGTGATACTTAACATTTCTGGCTCTGGGTTGAGGTCCCAAGCTCTGCAGTGTTCATTTGGGAGCTGTTCCTTTTTCTGTTCAACCCCAGAATTTACTTTGTGCCGGAAGCCAGAGTAATCTACTAAGGTGGCTGTGAGGAGAAAAGATCCCATTGTTCTGCTTTTTACGGGATCTTACCTAAGATGGAGGCAAGAAAAGTTCGCTTCAGCCCCCTAATCCATCTTAACTCAAACCACCAAATAATTAAATGGTGAAGTGCTTGCCTAGCTTGTGCAGTGCCCTGGGTTTAGTCTCATTTGAGACTAAATGAGACTCCAAAGGACTTCCTTGTGCCAGCCTCTGCCCCAAGGGCAGAGCCTCTGCCTCAAGGGCAATACCTGAGTTATAGATGAGGACACCCCGTTTAACTTGCTCAAAGTTGCTTGTGGTAGTTGGCGGAGCCAGTATTTGAGTTGGGTCTTTTGTAGTTTTTCATCTTGATCCTGGGATAAGCATGTCTTTGTTTGTGCTGGAATTCAGTATAAGAGGCTGGACAAATACTTTCGATGTCCATGATGTGTTTGTGCTGTCTCAGGCACCGGGAGCATTCAGAATAATCAGAAAACCTCTGCCTTCCCAGTTTATAATTTAGTCATGATCCATGATCCATGACTAAATTAACACTTTAAATTTTAGGAACCTTTATCATGTGTATAGTTTGGTAATAATACACAAATGTATTTTATCACTTAATTTTAAATGTAGGCAGATCTAAGTTGTAGTAATTTTAGGAACCTCATTTTTACACCAGTTTGAACAGATTGGTTTCTTAGCATCATCCAGTCTGTGAATAAGTGCAAATTCTGACTTTGCTCAAGTTTTGGTCGTCTGCCTTATAGTCCAAGAGCAGAGTGTAAGCTCACATCAATGCTGGGGTTCTGTGTCATATGAGACACAGGTAGACTTTGTCAAAGCTCAATATTATAAACTGCAAAGTTAAGTCTATACATGTGTGCTTTTCCTTCATGTGATCAAAAGCTATTATGGTTTTAGTACTAACTATAAGGCTATGCATTTTTGACTAGAATTCTAACCAGAGAACCCATTGCGCTCTCTCTCTCTCTCTCTCTCTCTGTATAGATTTGAAATTTTAAAACTTTGACTTCTTGCTTTTTTGGGTTTGTTTGTTTTTTGTTTAATTTCAGAAGTGGCCTATTCAAGCAATGTTAGGGCATGTAATTTTTAGAACTTACCACTTCAGAGATAATTGAGTAAATCTTTGTGTTTTACTATTTCAGTTCTCCTTTACAGTATTTTTCAGCATTTTTAAAGTATTATTTTCTTCCTGCCCTCAGGACCTTGATGACATAGAAGATGAAAATGAACAACTAAAGCAGGAAAATAAAACTCTTTTGAAAGTTGTTGGGCAGCTGACAAGGTAGAAGATTCAAGGCTCGGTGTGGAAAAATCTGTTTGAAACTACTGATTGAATGTCAAGGCTAAGACAACGCTCCTGTGCTTCAATACATTGCGATAACTGTATATTTATTTCTAGAAAACACATGGATATTTCTTTTCAAAATTACTCTTCTTCATTGTTTTAAAAAGTATCAACCTTGTATTTCACAGATAAGTAACATTTTTAGTTTTTAAAATGATAGGCAGTGCCTCTTGGTTTTGTGTTATATTCAAATAATGTATGGTTCAAAGTAACAACCATTTGCATATATTTTATCTATCTTAGTACGAATTCTCCCTAAAGGAATATGCATAGTCTTTGTTTACATGAATTCAAATACTTGCAGGAATTGCCTACAAATGCCTTATTACTAATGTGTGCAGCCTTCTGTTGTTAATACTTACTCAGAAAGACCTGTGTGCTGTCATCTGTTCTTTCCACACTCTAATGATTTTGAGTAGTAATAGGCACACTATTTTGTATAGCAATAATCTTTCAAAGGAAAGCTATTTTACAGAGTTACTTAATATGGTCTAGTTGGCTAAATATAAACTCAAGAGAATACTTGAACTGTGTTATAGTAAGTGAAAATTTACTATTTTGTGTTTCAATATTAAAATTTTTCGATTATTTCTGAAAAACAGTTAATGTATAGTTTCTTATGTAGGTACTTTTTTATTGCTCTAGGGTTTATTAGTAAATATGGGATATTTAAAAATTTGTTTATTCTTCAGTCCTCAAGTTGTGTACACTTTCAGTGTTGAAGAAGAAAATTGATGCTTTTAATATCATGTGCTTCAAAATCAGAACCAAAATCTTTTTCATGCTTAAAAAATGTGTGTGTGTATATATATATATATATATATATATGTTAGCACATGTAAGCAGAGGTAACACAGAATAATCCCAGCTAATTCCTGAGTGGGCGAAGCACTGGGATGCCTTTTTTCTCATGAGAGAATAGTCACATATCCAAGGGCTACTTCTTCCCAACACTGAAAATTTTAAAGCAACCATATTTGAAGATTTATAAAATAAAGTTGTCTTCTGTTAAGTGTCCTTAGTATTTAGGATTGTTTTGTGTTATATTTTCATATTAAGAACCCCCCGCCCCCAAACATGGATGCCTTACAGTTGAATCTCTTTCCCTTTTTGGTTCCTCCTTGTAATGGTGCTGGGACTAAACCCAGCAGGCATTCTGAGCAACTGGATAGCTCATCTCCAGTCCGGACAGGTGAATTTAAGGCGGACATGCTGACAGCCTGTCCACCAGTGTTCCGAACTTGAACATAGTAAAACCCTATTGGGTTCCCTCCCAGCTGTTTTTACTCCACTTACCAAACCCATTCGTTTATCCTCTGCTGGAAGAACAGGGGCGATGAGACAGGTGGGGCAGGTGTGGAGTAGCGTCACACACACCGATACTGTCTTCCCACAGGTGTCTTTATTCGCCACGAGCGTCTCCCCAACTCCTCACCTCAGAAATTCTGGGATTGACCGTTCATAATCACTTGAGGAAAGTAAATAGAATTCCTGCTGGAGCTCCCAGAGAAGCATGGTTTAGACCTTGGTTTCCAGAAGCCAGACAGTTTCTCAGCTGCTGATTCTAAATCACTTGGCTTGAGAGTCAGGGCTGCTGTTTCCCACGAAGTCACTGGAGCTGGGACTCACTGTCCCCCACCTCCCGCTTTAACTTCCCGCTTTAACTTAGCGGTTCACCCGGCCTCCCCAGCAGTGGTCGGCAGCCCACGTGAAGGTCTTAGCCGACCGACTCTGTCGCCCCTGGCTATGAGGTCCTCTTCTCTTTTAGATGTCTGGCGGAAGCATCCCCAGCGCCTCATTCCGTACTTACCTTTAGAGGTTGTAAAAATGCTGTCAGCATCCAACCCTAAAATACATTAGTATATTGATTTTTCAATAAGATAGTTTGAATTTTCTTTTTAATTTGTATATAAGGGTACATTTAATTTCACTTTCTAAAAATTACATCAGCTATGAACGTTTTTTTAAAAAACTGAGCTGTTTTGAAGTTCCTCCCATTCAGATAATGTGGAGGACTTTCAGCATGTTTTTTCTTTCTTAAATAATACTAGCAGGTGCACTTGTCACAGGAGCCTGGCGGTTCGTGGGCCATGTCATTGGAGCCCTTTCCCCAACTCCTTAAAATATGGATTTATTTCACAGACGGACTTTTACACACTGTTGAAAACAACAGGGTCAACTACAGTTCTCCTTTTAAATTCATTCTTAAACTCAACTTTTATAAAAATGTTAAACAATACTAAGAGCAGTTTTTGCTCATCAGTAAATTGGAATTTGGAGCCAGGCACAATCTGCAATGCCATAGCTTAGAATGCAGAGGCAGTAAGATTGTGAGCTCAAAGCCAGCCCCGGCTAGGGTTCCTTGTTTCCAAAAGTGAAAAAATAAGTGTTCAGGGGAGTTTGTAACAGATATCTTTAGTATATGTGCAGTGATCGAGAAGCCTTGACTAGTGTCTTTAAGGTACAAAGATTTGTGAATTTTAGTTCTGTCACTCAGTATTTCTCAAGTCTCCTGGTAATTTGTGGCATAGTAAGCCATACACAAAGTCCTGATAGATTTGTGACACTTTTAAAAAAATTTTGTTATCACCCCAAATGAACATGGTGTGCCTTCCCAGTGCTGATGAGAATTAACTGAAAATTGCTGTAGTAATCTTGACTTCATTCTAGATTTCCTGGTAGTTTTGTTATATTGCGCTTGCATTAGAAAAGAAGGAAAGGGGATGGGCTAGGTTTTTTCAGTTAATCTGAGAGAGACATTAAATAATAGATTAGAACTGTTACATTTATTCAAGTAATTTCAGATGTACGAATTAAACACCAAACATGAAGCAATGTAGTCTTTTTATCCCATAGTAATTAAAAAAAATTGAATAGTGATAGGATGCATTCTTAAGATTTAAAAACAACAACACAAATCTACCTCGGTTGTATGTGGTCTGTTTTCTGGAGTAATCTGGAGTTTTCAAATTAGAAACTAAAATGTAAACATTTGAGTCCATTTTTTTTCCGTGTTTAAGCAGAACAGATCAGTGTAGTAAAAACATCAGCATCTTTAACATCACAAGATGAAAAGAAAAAAGACTTTGTCCAGAGTCCTGGGATTGGAGAAGTGATCTGGTAGCCTGAACAACTTTCAGGAATACAGTGGCAGGCCCCCCTCCCTCCCACTCCTCCTCAGCAGACTTCAACCAGTGACAATAAGTTTCAGATACCTAGCCAGAAAGGTGGCACTTACTTAATAAGTATTCATAATTTTTATTAATTTCCTCTAGGATTTAGCCATGTATTTTTATTGCAGTATATGAACCCAGGTGCACCAGCTTTGCCTTAGAGGGAATATGGAAAGTGAGACAGAACCAATGTTTAAAGGTCCAAGCAAGCTTTCTGTAAGTTACAATTAGTGTCAAGCATCCACATCCTGGTGTGTGCCAGCAAAGGTCAGCCTCTCTTATTTTTTGGGTGATAGTAAGATTATTTTTTTTTTATTTTTAAAAATTTACTACAATTTTTTCATTTTGTATCCCAGCTGCAGCCCAATCCCACCCTCCCTCCCTCTTTGCCTCCCATGCCCTTTCCCCAGTCCCCTGATAGGAGAGATCCTTCTCCCCTTCCATCTGATCCCAGCCTATCAGGTCTCATCAGGACTGGCTGCATTGTCTTCCTCTGTGGCCTGGTCAGGCTGCTCCGTTATCAGGGAGTGGTGGTCAAAGATCCAGCCACTGAGTTCATGTCAGAGACAGTCCCTCCCTATTCCCCTTACTAGGGAACTCACTTGGAGATTGAGCTGCCATGGGCTACATCTGTGTATGAGTTCTAGGTTATCTTCATGCATGGTCCCTGGTTGCATTATCAGTCTCAGAAAAGACCCCTAGGCCCAGATTTTGTGGCTCTGTTTTTGTACCTGAAACTAAAGGGCATCTTGTTTTCATCTTTAAGATGAAAGATATTTCTTACTTCTTGCGGTACTGAGAACTGAACCCAAAACCGAGGTAAGCACAGCACCACCGAGCTCTGTGTGTACTCCACAGGACATCCTGTGGATGCAAATTTTAACTTAGAGTATTTACCTGAACACGGTGTGATGCGGTTTTGTTCCATCAAACTGAAAACAGAACCCTACTGAACAGCTGTTTGCTGGCCAATCCCTGCCCAGGCACTCCCGAGCGACACCCCCCGCCCCCGTGGTGCCCACTGTGTTCCATGTGGACACGGTGATAGTTCCCATCTGTGCTTAAAGACTTGAAGCAGCTGGGCATTCCACAGCCCACCTAGTCAACACGCTTCCTCACAAGTCTGAACGCCAGGCTTCAGACTTCAGAACCCACACGGGGGAAGGAGACCCGACTCTCACAAGCTGTCACTCTGACATCTACATTTGTAATGTGGTGCACATGCATACACACACACAGACACACAGACACCCTCACACTAAACGGAAATAATAAGACTTGAATCGTTGGTCAAGAAAACCTGAGCCTGTTTTAGTCTTCTATTTTGAGTTTTTAAGAAGGTCTCCCATTGTAGCCTAACCTGGCTTGAGACTCATTTTGTCATCCAGGCCAGCCTCAAAGTCATCATCCTCCTGCCTTAGCCTTGTGAGGTTTTTTTGTTTGTTTTGTGCGTGTTTCGTTGGTTTTGGCTTAGCTATATCTCCTAACATAGTGCAACTCAAATAGTTACGTGAGCCTCTTTGTACTAAACTTTCTTACCTATTTCAAGCAGAAACTTAGGTGACCATCTGCTGACTCTTCCATGTGTAGTCTAAGTAGCGTATGCCAGGAGCGTGAAGGTCAGCTCGAGGGAGCTGAACGGCTGAATCTGCATAGGTGATTCCAAAGCAGGTCTCATTCCTATCCTGCCCTTGACTGTTAGGTCTAGTTAATAGGTACTGTTTCATTTGCTGCAACATTTCTGAGCGGTAAAGGGAAGAGCTGGCGAATACCAGAAAGTATCTTACTATCTTTTTGTGTAAGTATGCATTAGGAAGTGATAATTATGAAATGTCGTAAAGACCAGGTGGTGGTCTTTAATCCCAGCACTCAGGATGCAGAGGCAGGGGGATCTCTGTGAGTTTGAGGCCAGCCTGGTCTACATGGTTTCAGGACAGCCAGAGCCACACAGAAAAACTCTGTCTTGAAAAAAGAAGAAAAGAAATGTAATAAAATAAAGAGTTTAATGCATGTCATATACACAGTTGTTGGTTATATTCAAATTGAATTGTTGGTTATGTTCAAATTAGTATTTCTGTATTCGATATTGGTCACTGCTGTGCTTTTGAGCATGCCATCTGTCAAACCTTCGGATCAGTTGTCGGTAGACATTCTGGTAATTAAAATGGCAATGACAGTCACTTGGTGGACAATGATTGACTGCCCTGTTTTGTTTTTTCTCTGCATGCCAAATTGTGTGTATGGTTTTTGTTTGTCAACTTAGTCCTTTAAAAATTTGGTTTCATTCTTCGAGGGTTTTATTTGCTTGTTATTTTTTTTCTCTAAATTTAAGAAGCAAGTGGGCATGCTACCAGTAGAAGTCACAAGACAACTAAGACTTACAGTTTGATTAAGATCAACTGAACCCAAACATTAATGAAAATTATCTGGATTAAATAATTGGACACAGTGTTGTGTAAATAGGTTTGGTCCATCCCATTGTTTGGGCTTCCATCATGGAAGAGTGAACTCAATGTAATAGATTCACTCTTACAATAAGCTTTGCATGGAAAAAAATGAATCTTCAATAAAAAGCATGTTTTCATCTTTTCAATACTGGTTATTTCTTTCCCCTTTTCTTTGTGTTTTAAAACTATAGAAACAGTCTCTTGATTCAGAGTTGGAACTGTTACTAACCCAATTGGGTTATTCAAAGAATTTCAGGTCTCAATTAGCTTAAAACAGATAACAGGTTTTGGGGGTGTAAAAATCTAGTCTTTGTTTTTTCAGCAAATGCTTTACATAACCTTTTAGCTAAGGTGTCAGTCTGTGGACACCTGCACAAGCTAATCAGCCTTCCCTCCCGGAGGACTGTACTTAAGTAATCTCTGAAACACCGTCCATCTCTAGCAAGTCCACAGGCATCCCGGCAAGAGTATTTTGCTAACATCTCAAGTTCTTTCGTAAGAAGGTATGCTTTTAATTAGCACACCCAGTGAAAAGGTTTTTGCAAGATCTCCATTGTTTTGAGATTATAATATAATTACATTTCTCTCTTTCCTCCTTCCAAACCCTCCCATGCAGCCCTCTGCCCTCCTCCAAATTCAAAGGTCTCATAATCTTAATTGAAATGGAAACCTTTATTGTTGGTTTCACCAAAACTCTGTGCTTTTTAGTGTGCGATTTGCTCTGTGTGCAGGTGTGCATGCATTATGTTTAGTCAGCTGCTGAGCTGATAGTTCCTCGGTTCCCTGGCCTTATGCCTCCTCTTCTGCATCTGCACATTTTATTATCAGTTGCCTCTCAGAAAAGAATATTTAACATTAGATCTTCACATAGGGCTGGTGAAGATCTTTACAGCCTTTAATTATATATATATATATATATATATATATATATATATATATATATATATTATATATAATGTCTAACAGGATAAAAAGAAAGCTAGAAAGTGAAACTTTTTCTTAATCTTGGACCAAATATACTTTAGAAAATTTTGAGTCATAATGGGTGTGTATGTGCCTCATATATGCTACAGTGAGCTTCCCAGCCGTTGTTAATAACACCTTTAAACAAAGAGAAAGGCACTCTGTGTTAGGGGTGCAGCATGGAAAAATTAACGTGACTTTCAGAAACGGGGTTTCTCTGTGTAGCCTTGGCTGTCCCAGCACTCATTTTGCAGACCAGGCTGGCCTGGAACTCACAGAAATTCACCTGCCTCTGCTTCCACCTGCCTCCAGAGTGCTGGGATTAAGATAGGCATCCAGTAAAAAAGGAAAAATGAGCTTTTGTGTTATAGCTGTTATAATGTCTTTTTTTTTTCTTTTTTTTGGTCATGTTAAAGCATGCTGTCAATAAGTCAGTCGCTACTCTTTCTTAGACATACTGTGGGATATGCACGTACTTATGTTACAGGCTTCTTCTAGCCAAAGAAATGTTGGTCTCCATTTAAAGTCTCAGCTCTCTGCTGCCGTTAACCAGAGGTAGAAGCTGTCATCGGTTTTTTAACTTTATAAAAGGAAATTGTTGAAAAAAAAAAAAAAGAATAGGAAGGCATCAGGTTTCATTGACTGTTTTTCTAGTGAAAAAGCCTAAACAAAAGCTGTCTTGTCAGTGGCAAAGAGATCCACACAGAAGAATCAGAAAATCGCTTTTGATAAGAAAACACTCATTAGCTGGTATCAGAACTGGAAAGCTCAGCCTTCTGTAGGCTGTTGAGGGCTTTGTGAGCAGATGTCCAAGGATGGCGAACAATACTGACATAAAGTCTGATAATGCCACTCAAATTCAGGTTCAGCAGCTGCCATCGGTGAGGTCAGCGGGCGTCTTCATGGAATGAATAAGCGGGACCTTAAAATCGCTGATGCTCCCAGGCGGCCTGGGATGCCTCCGCTTGTAGCCCTTTCCAAGATCATATGCTTCAGTTTCTGATGACTAAGGAGACGGGTGTGTCCCCCCGAAGTGCGGTCTGTGCTGTAGAGACTGTTTTGTCCCCTGCGGTGCGTTCCTTGCTTTAGAGACTGTTTTGTTTGGTTCTTCGAAACCCATGATTCCCAGACATCACAAAACTCCTTGCGTTTGACTACAAGACTTTGCAATCTGTAAACACCTGGACTTCCTACGGGGCTGTAATCACGGCCCTGCCAAGTGTTTGGCCTGTGTTCTCAGTGTTTCTCACAGCACCGGCATCCATTTCACTTGGGAACCTGATAGGAATACAAAAGTCTTTGGCCCCACCTAACACCTGAATTTGAGAAATTTGGGGGGGAAAGCCAGGTGATTTGTCTAATAACAAAGACTTCAGGTAATCCTGCTTGTGAAAAGTTTTAAGTCACTGCTATTTTTTAATCAATGCAGAGATTTCTATCTCTTCTTGTTATTTGCTTTGTTTTAGACTTACTGTCTAAAGAGTATAATGTGAATTTTGATCTTTGTTGCTCTCACTGATAAAGACACTATCAGTAGGCCCTCCTCACACTGGCAGCTTGATGCACTGCTTCAGAGTAGTTTCGGTTCACAAGTCCAAAAAATCAGGCAACATAATCTTGGTTGTTCTCTTTCTTAACAGTTATTTCCTAAAGGGTGTTTAAGTATCAATCGCACATTTGTATCAGATTTTAAAACTCGATTGCAACATCAAGTTTTAAATATATGCCTCAGGGTGCTGGGTTTTGTGTTTTGCATGTACATTGCAAGCACTTGGCGGGGGTGGGGCTTGGGGAGTCTAAAGCTTTTCAACTTTTCTTGTGAGTTCAGAAAATTAAATGACACTTTCTAGCTAATGGCTTACTGGTGACACACAGTTGGCATTCTAGTGAGTACAGATAGACACTCAATTTGGGCCATTAGTTTCTTAAACATGATTTTTTAAAATAAGCTTTTAATTAAAAAAAAAACATGTTTCTAGAGGCTCTTACCATGTATAATCGCTAGCTAGTCTGGAACTCATATAAGATTAGGGTGGCATTGAATTTACAGAGATCCAGCTGCCTCTGCCCTGCAAATGCTGGGATTAGAGATTTATCCTAGCACTAACAATTAAAAATTAAAAAAGAAAAAGGAAAAAAAAAAGTTTTAGGACATGTTGAGCTTTACAAAATTACAGTAATACGGAGAATTCTTAGATGGCCTGTGTCTGTCCCATGTTGCACCTTACATTTTATATTGTACATTGCTCACAATGAATCAGTCTTAATACATCACTCAGTTCCCGTTTCTTCATTGTTTCCCTGGTGTCTGTACGTGCATGTGCCAAGAGCTAGTCCAACTGCAAATCACACTCAGTTCTTTACGTCTTGGGTTCTTCCTGGCTGTGACCATTTCTCAAATGTCTCTTCATTTTGACATCTTCAGCAGTTTCCAAGATTGACCACGTCTTCCTTTAGGTATCGCACAAAGTACAGGAAATCTCAGTATCTGACTGGTGTTATTTTACCACCCAACCACTTTTCCTGTGGTGTTTTAAAGTCTTACTTTCCTATAAATATGTTCTTACAGCTCTCCTATAGTGAGAAATAATAACCACAGCATTGTCATGGCACTGAAGTGAGTATATATTTTTAGTATGTATTTTGGTGGGGTTCTCAGAGAAACAGTCATGTCAGACTTCCTAGAAGAAAACTTTTCTCAGGAAATGAGGAAGCTAGAGAAGGTTGAGGAGGTGAAGGCAAGAGGGGAATGATCGACGTTCTGCAGAGATGTTCTTAAAGCTGATGAAGAGCACTCCAGCTGAAGGTGCTTGTCATTGAGGGGCCTCGGGCCTGGTGCAGTGGGCCTGCTGTAGAGTTCCTGCTTTGTTCATTGATAGCCTAAGAGAAGCCTGCTCTCAGCTGAAGGCCATCCTGAATTCAGAGCACAGCCAGCCTTCAGTTAGCTACACACCTCAAAGCAATTCTCCTTCCTCAACTTCACTGTCGTGGGCCGTCCCACAATCGAATACTGTATGTTCAGATTTCCTCCAGATACGGAAGGAATAAAGAAAAAGGATCCTTTGGCCTGTTGACTTATTCTGGTAAGGATGTATTTTGAGAAGCAGCCATTGTACTTGGTATAGCTCAGTCTTTTTAGCCTGCTAATTAGTTCCACATCCTATTTAACACCGCTTTTTAAATGGAAGGGATTGGGTGATTTGCTCTGTAGCATTCCCCCCTTCCCCAGCCCCCATCAGGATGGGACTGTTTGAATCTTTCCACTACCCTCTTGTTTCTGTAAGTTGATAGACTGAGGAGAAAGCTTGCATTCCCCATTGAGTGCCATGAGAAGCCACAATTTCTGCTTGTTGTTTCATGATATAAAGACTGCTTACTCAAATGCTACCAGCTTGGCTGCTCGGTTATGAATTCTTCGTTAATCCATCCTCCCTTCCTCCCACCCTTCTTTCCTGTCTTTCTTGGAATTGAACCTAAGACCTCACATATGCTAGGCTAGGCAAGTAAGTTGCCCTGGCTGGCCTGGAAGTCCCAGGCAGGCCTTCAGCGAGCAATTCTTCCTCAGCCTGCTCCAGCCGCTGAGATTAAAGATTCATCCCTAGCTGCAGCCTAATGCTCCAGTGTTTTCAAGAAACAGATGGTTACCAGGTTTTGTGAAGGGGTTTTCTAATTCTGTCTTTCCATTTACTTTAGTATGTACATTTTTTTAAGGGTATGGGGTACACACTATATAGCCCTGGCTGGCATGGCACTCACAGAGAACCCCCTTCCTCTGCCTTTTGAGTGCTGGCATCTAGTTAGAACTCTTAAAATAAGTTTTCAGCTCAACATCATGGCACATGCCTATAATCACAGCACTGAAGAGAGAGGATGGACGATCTTGCTCTTAAGGCCTAGATAGTGGGCAACACAGTGAAACTGTCACCATAAAACAATCCTGTGAGTGTGTGGGTGTACTAGTTCGTTTCCCAAAATACAACAAAATAAGGTCTTGTTGAGTTTTTATTTAAAAAATTATGTGTTATGGGTGATTTCCCTGCATGTATGTCCACATACCGCTTGTGTACCAGGTGCTTGTGGAGGCCAGAAAAGGGCATCTGATCCCTGTACTGAGTTACAGATGGTTGTGAGTATCCACAAGGGTGCTGGGAATCAAACCCTGATCCTTTGGGAAAAGCAGCCA